TTAGTCAAAGCATCACTTTTCCATGTTTGAGGTCAATTTTTTTTTTAGTTTTCTTGATAGTGTTTTCCTTCTGTTTCCTTGAAATCCTAGGTTTATGGAAGACCATCAAGCTATGACTACAAAATTAGCTGAAGAACATGAGATTCTTCTTCAGGAGCTGAGAGAAAAGCATGTCGGTGACCTAGTTTCTCAAAGAAAAGAGCTGGAGCATAAACATAAGGAGCAAATTTTGTCCCTCACAGCAGAACTGCGGGCACAGCACCAAGCTGAAATGGAGACCCTCAAATCCACATTAGAAAGGGAACACCAGATTCGTTTAGAAATGAGCCTAGCTAATCTGCAGAAAAATTATCAAGCCCAAATGACAGAGCTAGAGGATAAGCATTTATCAAATTTGGATACTTTGGAGTCTACATATCTCTCTGAAATTCAGTTCCTACGGGACGAGCACAGACAAGCTGTTGAAAGTTTACAGGTAGATTTACAAGAACAGCTACTTAAACAGGGCAAGGCAAATCAAGAGCTCTTGGCTCAAAATCTAGCAAGGATGAAACATAAACACGATGAGGAGCTGCAAATTTGCCAAGAAAATCTGAAAATAGATTTGGCTACCGCTCACATAGAAGAACTTAAAGTAATGGCTGCCGAACTGGAAACAGCTCATAAGGTAAGTAGGAGCAATAAATTGTTACCCTTTGGGGGTTTGGTTTAGTTGCGTTTCAGTTGATCATGAGCGGCATGTTTGACAGGGACAGTGTGCTGCCCATCTAGTTAGATTAGAATTTTTTTCCTGTGAAACAGATTGGCAGCATCTAAAAATTATTTGCATATTTTAATAAATGCAAGTGTTTGTATTTATGTGATAAGAAGAACAAAAGATGGAGTAGTAATAATAGGATCTTCTTCGTGGTCTCTGTGCTTCACACCAAAGGGATCTAGTGCGCCTGTGCTGGATCGATCCAGCGCAGGCGCACTAGATCCCATGGGTGTGAATGCACAGATGACCACTCGAAGATCACCAGTTACTGGTAAGCAACCTGTTTTTATATAATCAAAAAACCTTCTAACCTTTAAAGGATCAAAGTTCTGGAATCGTCATTCTGCAGTGATGATGGAATGAAGTGTTAGTTTGGTGAGAGCCAGTTTGGTGTAGTGGTTAGGAGCGTGGACTCTAATCTGGGAGAACCAGGTTTGATTCTCCACTGCTCCACTTGCACCTGCTTGATGACCTTGGGCAAGCCATAGTTCTAATAAGAGCTGTTATTGAAAAAGAGCAGTTTCTGTCAGAGCTCTCTCAGCCCCACCTCCCTCACAGGGTGTCTGTTGTGGGGAGGGGGAAGGGAAAGGAGTTTGTAAGCCGCTCTGAGACTCCTTTGGGTAGTGAAGGGCGGGGTATAAATCCAACCTCTTCTTCTTCTTCTTAGTTTCAAAGCTGTGTAGAATAAATACATGAAAAGCAAGTACATAGAGTCCAGTTCCTATGTAGTTTTGTGCTTAGGATAAGGAAAGGCCATTTCCTATAGGAAATCCCACCCACCCCTTCATTCAGTGGATAATACCCCTCAGCTAGCTTTCGTGGTATGTTTCACAGAAAACATTCCTTGTTCTACAGGTATGTGTTGGTTCCTCTATTATCTGGCTGTGGTATTCTTTAATCTCAATATTATTCTAAATGTATCTTTTTGTCCTTGCTCTTAAAGGAGCATCTGATTGCTGGAGTACATTTTAAGATCAAACAAGAAGCCGTTGGTTTGTAATTCTAAGATATACAGTCTCTAAACAGAGCATCAGAGCTGAGTTGTGATGACTTAATTTTCCATTTAAAAATGCTTAAGTGATTTGGCTTTGTGGGATTTTGGTACAGTGAATACCTGTCTGTTTGAAAATATGAACTGCCTGTAATCTTGGGCTTCTGTTTTCCCTTTGAAACTATTCAGGAAGATTTAAGTGCAGAGTTAGAAAAACAAAGATGTTTATTAGAGCACGATTATCATAAATCCTTGGATTTGTTACGAGGAGAAATCCTCCATATGGAGGAGCAGCATAAAAAAGCAATGCAGGAGCTTCAAGAGCTTCATATTGCAGAGATTGAGAAGGAAAAAGAACACTGGCAACAGCTTCAGAGAGAGAGAGAGCAGCAAAACTCAGACAAACAACAGGTGAGAATTCTACAAATTTGACTGAAGTTCTAAGTAAAACTCTAGTTAACTTTGAGTTTGGCTCTGTGTGTGTTCTGCATTTGTAACTGAAGAACCACCTTGTCCCATTGTCACTGCATGTGTGGGTATCAGGTTTTCTCTCTGGGACAAAAAGGGGTGCAGAAGGTCACATTCATTTTGAATTAGCAGTGTCTCACATTTAGAAGAACATAAGGCAGTTTCTGTCTCTCGTTCCCTTCTAAAGATGTGTTTTACTGCTAGTACTTGGAGTAACAGTCCAGGCAAGGTGAGAGGGAGTGAGTTTTTTTCTGGATTTCATGTAACTTCTAGTTCACGCTAAAGGCCTGGGGAGCTAACAGTATTAAATAGCCAGTCCAAAAGGAATAAAACAAAATAATATTTCATGCTAAGGCCAAACAGAAAGGTTTGGTAATGTGTAGTCTGTGGGCAGATCTAGGGACCTGAATAGCAGTGATGGGGTTTAAGTAGGAGGCTAGTTGGAGCAGAATTAAAATTGCCAGGGTGGGAGTTGCTTTCAAGCTAGCAAATCATCCATATAGATTTGGGGACATCAAGCATGTGCCCTACTGATTACACACAGGAATTCTGCAGTTTAGCTTCTTATGGTAAGTAAAAAGAAGGATGGGCAGAGATTCTGAGTAACCAGGTAGGCTTGTCAAGTCCCCCCGGGGGGCAAGAAAACCCCCGCTCCAGAGGCCCGTTCCCCGCCGGCGGTGGATCGGGCCCCGGGGGGAACCCCACCCCGACATGCACGTCACCCGGAAGTGATGCGACCACAGCGGGCACGCTGGGGGCCGGGCTACAGTCACCCGAGGGAAAACTATGCTTTTCCCTCGGATGGTCGTGGCCCCGCCCCCAGCGTGCCTGGCGTAGTCACGTCACTTCTGGGTGGCGTGCGTGCAGTGCGCACGCGTGCTCCAGCCACCAGCTGGGAGTCCCCCGCTGCAGCTCAAAAAGCACTTGGCAACCCTATAACCAGGAAACATTTTATTAAAAGTTCTTAATTGCATAACAGCATAAGTATTATTAGGCTTCAAATGTAGCTATATAAAAAGCACATGGTTACTAAAATATGCAAGATTTAATAGAAAGGGGAGAATAAGGAGAAACAAAAGGGGAATTTCTGGTATATTGTTAAGGAGGTTATTTGTTGGTTCAGAGGAAGAAAGAGAAACAATTTAAAAGGTCACACTTGCACTTTCTTCAAAAAATAACTTGGGGATGTTACAGAAGAAATACATGTAATTACTTCATACTGAGGCTCTCATGCCTAAGGGGTAACCAGAGAAATGACCTGAAAACTAGAGGAACATGAAGAAAATGAATAGATAGGAAACAAACCAAGCAAGAGAAACTTCTCTTCTTCTCTGTGTTGGTTGGGACTATTGATTCAGATATTATATGTGACCTCCAAGAACTCCCCAACCTCCTTTTCTTAGCTTTAGAGAATATAGCCCCAGCCTTTAGCTCATAGCCCAGTGTTTGCCCAAACTCCTATCTGCAAGAGTCTGGTAGCTTACCTCCTCATGTGTGGTGCATTGCTCCCCTTTTCACGGTTCTCTTGATTAATGAGACATTCTTTGTTGTGTCACATCAGAGTACCTGTTATGGAGGGCTCATTTGTCTTTGTCATGGGCCAACTGTCCTTGCTGTCCTTTATGTCCAAGTATTCCTCTGGAATGTTTGGTAGCAAGGCCTTGGGTCATGCCCATCTCGTTCCCTCCACATCGGTCTGTTCAGTGCCGATGACATATGCTCCAGTTGGGCTCAGGTGAACACCTGTCATGCTCCCTGCAGTCAGCTGTTGTGACACTGGCATGCTTTTCCCCCACTGATGCCACATCCTTTTTTGAGGGATCACTTATGGCAAAACTGCCACGTCCAGGATCAGCCTTGGAGCTTCTGCTCTGGTCTCCACTCCACATCATATTTCAGTTTTTCTGTTAATTTCCACTTAAATATTGTTCTGTTCATTCAGTTTTACATGTGATTTGGTCTCAACAAATACAGTAAGAGTAAGGCTGCAGTATTTTGAAGAGCATATTAAAAGAATATTTGCTGAGGAAAGCTCTATGTGCTTCTTGAGTAAAAGTGATACTTTATTTTTGATTTCTCACAGCTGGAGGCAAAAATTAAATCTTTAAACAAAGAGATGGAAGAGGCTAACGCTGAACTGAAAAACTTACAGCAGCGGGACAGAGAGAACCAAGAAGGAGAAGCATTAATAGCTTTGTTGAAATCTGATATTGGACTTTATAAAACTGAACAGTGAGTATACTTTGGGACAGTTCAGCTATAGTTTTTACATTCAATTTTTGTGTTAGTTTAGCAAGCCATGGTTAAGTCTGGGAGTGTATCAATATTGGGAGTATCATTCAAACAGTAAACAGCCTGGTTGTTTTTAAGATGGAACAAGACACTCTCTTGAGTTTACAGTGGAATGATGTGATTAGTCCTCCTCTGGAGTTTTTCATATAATGTATGTGGAATTCATTGTCACAAGTGACTTGCTCAGAAGCATCGTCCTCTTTTCTCTCACTAGATTCTGCAGTTTCTGCCTTCCACCCATCCCTGCCCTTAACTCTTGACACATTTGCCCCTCTCATCCCCAGCTTGGCTCACTTCAATACTGCAACACCTCTCTGGTCCAAAAACAACCGTACAAATCCTCAGCGTCACTTTTCCACCTTCAGTGTTTTAGTAGGTCTGCCTACGACTTCCCCTCCCAAGGAGTTCCATTCTTATTCAGTGACAAAATTGTAACAACACATGATAATCTCTGTTCAGTCTGTTTCTACTTCAGTCTTTTCTTCCCTCCTCTGTTTCATTTGAAGAACCGATTCCACTCTTGCCCATGTCCCGCTCTTCCATATGACCCCTTAATCCTGTCCCCCTCAGACTTCTGGAAGGACCCACCATTCTTCTTTCTTTTTTTAGACTCTCCTCTGGCTTCTTCCCTACTGCGTTCAGATGTACCTCAAAACGCCATCTGTTGACCCATCTTTTCCTGCTACCACACTTAACTTTTTGCTTCTGAGCTGCTAAAGCATACTATTTGCTCCTGTAATCTTGACTTCCTTTCCTTTGATCCTCAGTCTGTCTTCTGTCCTCTGAACTTCACTGAGTGTGTTAAGTGCCATCAAGTTGCATCTGACTTACAGCGACCCTATGAATTAATGTCCTATAAATGTCCTATTGGTAACAGCCTTGCTTAGGTCCTGCAAATCGAGGGGTCATGGCTTTCTTAATTTTGTATTTAATTTTTTTGGGGGAGGGGTTTTTGCATTTTTGGTGTGTGTGCGTGTGTATGCCCATGCCTGAATTCATGGTGACCTCTGGCGATTCCTACTGGAGGAGAAGTGGCTTGATAGCCTGCCTCTGGCCTCCCAGCCCTGATATTCTCTGGAGATCTCCCATCCAGGGACACCATTGTGAACTGTACACTCCATTGTATAGGAATTGTGTTATAGCTATATGCGCACATTAAAATCCTGGGTAAATTGGGGAGCGGTCCATGGACTTGAGGAGCAAACTTTCTTCTATCATTATGCCCTTTATCTTCTGTGGCCGCAAAAGTTGTGGGTTAGCTATGCATATACCTCTGCTTTTTTAGGAAAAAGCTGCAAGAATGTAATCAGCAGGCTTTAAGGTTACTTTTGATGATGGTGAAAGCCACAAAAGATATAGAAGGCCTTATCTGCAAGAAGACTGGTCTTTGTCTTGATGACAGCCTGGCATCTGGAGATTCACGAGAGAGCCAGAGTACAATTGCAGAAATGGTACTTTCTCAAAAAATGATGGAGAAAGGGGACACGAAAGCAAGTGAGAGGGCTCACCAAGGTAATTATGTGCAGTGAAAAGCGGTTCTGATGAATCACCACAGTGTTCTTATTGCATTCCGAAGTTGCCTTACAGTTCAGGTGAAGGGTGCCCATAGAGCGAATGCTAAGCAGTGCCCAAGGATTTTAGAGGGAGAGTGAATAGCACACTTCATTCCCCACTGTTGAAAGAGCTAACTTGTTTTATGATCTACATTAGTGTCAGTATCTGTTTTTCTTTTCCATTAATACATTAGCTTGTATTCTAGGTCTTGGTCAGACGTTTCTTCATGTTTGGCTCCCACTTGGGATAAGATTGGAAGCAAGGGGCTTATGCTTTCCCTCCCCTATTATTTACTGCTGATCTGAGAGTCATCATTTGAGGGAGAGAATGATACCATACGACTCCTCCTACGATCCCCGTAGGCAGGAAATGTTGGTCTTTGCATCGCTGAGGATGGAAAGTTCCCTTCATTCTTTTCCTGCCTATGTGGTTTGAGCAAGACTTTTCTGAGAGCTTGGGATCTTTGTCTATTTCTCTTGTTTGTAGATGTTTGATACAAATTGTCATTGGATAGTGAATTTTAGTGGCATTTATGTGTAGAAAGTCCTCAGAATCCCAGCCTGACTGTTAAAAGATTAGTTAGTTGCAACGGCTTAGACCATGCTTGTCATTTGTGTGACAACAAAAACACACAAGGTTGCAGAGGTATGCCACAAAAAATACCAGTTTGGAAACATCTAGAGAAAGAAAATAAACCAGGTCTCATTGTAGTAGTTCTAGAATTTCCTGAGGAAGGGCCCTGCCAGAATGGGGAAGGAATGCATCATTCCTGTTGTCTCCAAGTTTCTCGTATGCTTCTTATGAAATTATTTGGCATGTTTCCCACCTTGTTCCGTAAGTACCTAATTATTTTGAAGCAAAATTCTATGATGTAGGTATATATTTAGTTCATATATAACTTGGTTCTGAGTACATAAGAACATAAGAGAACATAAGAGACGCCAATGTTGGATCAGGCCAAAGGCCCATCCAGTCCAACACTCTGTGTCACACAGTGGCCAGAAATAACAGTGCCATCAGGAGGTCCACCAGTGGGGCCAAGACATTAGAAGCTCTCCCACTGTTGACCCCCCCCCCAAGCACCAAGAAGACAGAGCATCACTTGCCCCAGAGCCCCTAGCTATACCTTGTGGCTAATAGCCACTGATGGACCTCTGCTCCATATGCTTATCTAATTCCCTTTTGAAGCCGTCCATGCTTGTAGCACCCACCACTTCCTGTGGCAGTGAATTCCATGTGTTAATCACTCTTTGGGTGAAGAAGTACTTCCTTTTATCCGTTCTAACCCGACCGCTCTGCAGTTTCATGGAGTGCCCACGAGTTCTTGTATTGTGAGAAAGGGAGAAAAGTACCTCTTTCTTTACCTGTTCTTTTCCATGCATAATCTTATAAACCTCGATCATGTCACCCCTTAGTCGTCTTTTCTCCATGCTAAAGAGCCCTAAGCGCTTTAACCTTTCCTCATAGGGAAAGTGTTCCAACCCTTTTATCATTCGAGTTGCCCTTTTCTGCACTTTTTCCAAAGCTATAATATCCTTTTTAAGGTGTGGTGCCCAGAACTGCACAATATAAGTATTGTTCATATAATGTAACATTGGTTTTGGGGGAGCATTTAAAAGATTAATCAATTATAGTGTTATTACAATGAATCTATTTTTTGAATAGGGCAAGATCTTGATAAAACTCTACCTGAACACAGCTTTGAATCTTTGGTGCCTGATGAAATGTCTGAACTGAGTGAGCATTTATGCGAAAGTATTTTTGAAAACCCAGACCTGGTATTTGAAAATGAAGAGAGGATCCAGAAAATCTGTCATTCTGTGCATATTGCTGTGGAAAAGCTTATGGAGCTGCTTGCAGAATCAACTAAACAAGTAATGTTATATTTGCATTTAGTTAATTTAACATATAGCAACCTAATTATATGTTATAACCACACCTATGGATAGTTTGTACGTGACGGGAGCTTATGCTGGACCCTACTAGGGACCTCCTTCCCTAATATATTCAACAGAAAGGAAGTGGTGGCGATCAGTTGTTTAATTCGTATACTTTGGGGCACCAAGAGCACTTTGTACTGCATTTTAAGCCATACTCCATGTATGAAGACTACCTCCATGAAGGAAAATAAAGCTAAGTACTGCTAGTACTGATTCATGTATACATGTTTTTTATAGAGAGTTCTGAAAAAAGAGACACATATTTGTATTTAAGTTTTAAGTATTAAGTAAGTATTGTAAATATTTGTCATCCAAAATAGTTAATGGGGAAGAAAACAAAGGGTGGGGAGGGAGACTCAGAGAAAGGTGGGATGACTACTGAATAATGCAGTTACGTGTACTGAAACTCAGTTGTTTGTGGGATGAAGATTAAGGGTTTAAGCTCTGGTGAAGGAGGTTGCCGCACAGAAGCAGAAGTATAAAGGGATTTTCAGCGTTACTTGCATAAACTTCTGCAGATCTTAAAATTGCCTTAGAGCAGTGGGACTCACTGTGGATCATAGAGAGCCACATTCAGAGTTCCTATCGAGCAAAATAGGCACCCTGATCACTGTTCTGTGTGGTGGAAAGTACTGTCAAGTTGCAGCCAACTTATGGGGACCAGTGTTCCCTCTAAGCTGAGTTAGTGTGAGCTAGCTCACGGTTTTTTAGCCTCCGGCTCACACATTTTTGTCTCAGCACAGGAAGGATGGCTCCAGAGCTAACTAATGTATGCAGTAGCCAAATCACTCACTCACAACTTTAATGCCAGTAGCTCACAAAGTAGAATTTTTGCTCACAAGACTCCACAGCTTAGAGGGAACATTGATGGGGACCCCATAGGGTTTTCAAGGCAAGACGTTCAGAGGTGGTTTGCCATTTGTCTGCCTCTGCCTAGTGACCCTGGACTTCCTTGGTGGTCTCCCATCCAAATATTAACCGTGGCCAACCCTGCTTAGCATCTGAGATCTCGCAAGATCAGGCTAACCCGGGCCATCCAGGTCAGAGTATATGTCCTGTGCACTACCACAAACAGACATGGACAATAATATATTGCCAGTTTAATTCCTAGAGTACTTCTGAGCACAGTACTATCATCCAACCTTAGCCAGCCCTTGTGTATCTGGAGTGAGGGGGATGGGTTTGCAAGTAAGAGTTGTGAGCAAAATATTGTGAAGCTTTTGAGTTCTCCAGAAACCTAAATGCTTCTCTATTAAAAGTTCTTTTCAAATTCAGTTCTGCTGGAGAACAGATTTAAAGTTAGATTTGGGGCAGTGGTTGAAGGGGTTGCTTGCTTCACATCAGTTTTGATAGCCTGTAACAGTACTACTTCGCAGTATGGGTGGCTTACTAGAAAAGAGGAAAATATAGATTAAAATATATAAAAATATTAGGGTAACAATGTATCCTTTTTATTTAGAATGTTAAATTATTTAATGTTTTGAAACTGGAGCAAACATTCAGACATATTCAACCCAATCTAGAGTGAAGAGGAATTCAACCGTAGGAATTGGGAAGCATGCCAGGTGGTTAATGAGCACCATGAGCTAATGGAGTGTCTCAATGAAGAGAGTGCGGCAAAGAATCAGCTGGCAGTGGAGCTTCATAAAGCAAGAGGTAGAGAAAGTAATCTGAAATTTGAAACATCTGGATTATAAAAGTACATCAAGAAGGTCAAGAAGAGTTTGCTCATCCTTCATGGTTGGCATTCCCCAACCAGTTCGCATCCCAATGTATTTTTGTGATTTAACATATCCTAAATATAGACCCACCTTTATGTTGTTGCATCTTAATGCTTTATCATCTGAGTCTTGTCAAATAGATATGCTGGTTTTCCATATTCAGAGAGAACATGCAGTTGCAACCTTAATCACGTTGAATCTATTGACCACATACCTTTAAGCTGCCCTGAATTAAAAAAAAAAAAATTAAAAAAAAATTTAAGACAGAAACTGATTTTCTCCCTACTTAGTAAGGATTCTGCTTCTCTAACTGCTTAGACTTCTAGGCTATTGAGCAATGAAGATGGATGGGTTACATATAGGGTCGCTAGATTTTTGGCTTCCATTGTAGAAATACAGAAACATTCTAAAACAACTGTGTAAATCCTATCATTATGTGGATACCTTTCTATTAATTGCTTAAACATAAACTCTCAGCGGCTTTTCGAGACCACTGGGTTGAATGAATGGTAATGGGGGGAGGCATGGCCAAGGAGTCTTCTCGGTTCCTTCCCACTCTTCTGTCTGTTGACGAAAGCCCTTGCCTAAGGTCCATATAGAATAGGCTAATGCCCAATTGACTGTGAATGAGTCCGCATCAGACTGTAGGTCCAGAGATGTACCCAGTTCTAGGTCTTAGACTTAAGATGGCTTGATTCTCTTCATTGTAGGTAAGAGTGACTTCTTCTGATCCAGAGTGTTTTATAAGAATATTTGGGTCATTGGTGCTAGGAACAGTTTTTGGGTTCCTGTGAATAAATGCATTTTCTCCTGGGAGGTTGGCAATGAGCAAAGACTCCACTTTGCGTTTTACCAGTTTTTTCTCCTCTTTGCTGAGAACAGACAAGGGAGGGGAAGTCTCCAGACTTACCTCAGCCCACTTTCATACGAATGCTAATAGGTCTAGACAGTGGGATGGTCAAGCTTCCCCCTTATGCTTCCAAGCAGGGAACAGAGGTTTGGAGGTATTAAATGCTAGAGGGGAACCAGGAAGTAAATATATAGAATTTTCAAGGAACGCTTCTGTGGCCTGGTCTGGTCAAGGGGGTGAAGAAACAGATATGATAAAAAGCTCCTTGACACAGGAAGGAGTTTTTGGGTGCTGTGTCCAGTAGTACACACAGACCTCTCCACTGGGAGGAGGCAGCTGTTGACTATGTGGGTGGCCTGACTATCCAAAGGGAGCTTTAAAGTAGTGGCACTCTATAGGGATCTGTAATATCTTAAATAAAAGGAGCCTATCCTATTCCAACATCTGATAAAGCATATATAGAGAAAGGGACAGAGAAATTTCTTTTGGAATTCCTAGCTCAGTTTGGTGCTGTCCTAAAAGCGTGCTTGTAAACATTTTCTTTTTAATAAGTGCTTTAAACTTTTGATGCTGGGAGCGGTTCTCTGTACCACATAGACCTCCTCTATCTCGGACATGCTATTTTAAAAGAGACGCCAGAGGGAAGGCAGGCAGTTGGCAAGCAGCTATTACTCCAGGGACACCCAAGGCAGTAAACTGTCCCTGTGGTGAGGGTGACCAGATGCTGGGCAGTGGGAGACACAGAGGCAAGGCCTCAGAACTTGGAAGGGAAGCTGGGAGTCCTATTCCTCCCAGTGGGTAATTCCTTGAAAAGGGCAGGTGGTAGTGGCGGCTACTCAAGATTTCTCAATTTTTTCAAGAGAAAAGCCTTTCCAGGTGTTGAGAAAAACCTGGGATGGCAGGACAGAATAGGGCCTGCAGGCCCAAGCAGGTCTGTTCTGCCACAGTTCCAATAAGCCATGCACACATACATGTGCTGTTTTTTCCTTCCAGCTGCAGTTCATGTTTCCTGAGGCTTTAGGAGAAATACATGAACACAACAACTGGCAAATGCAAGAATTAAAAGCATCAATAAATGTAATCTGGTAAACAGAAGGAAATAAAAATTGAGAAATCTGACTTCTGCTTTTTAAAGCTTAACATTAACAGGATTACATGACATTTTTTTCTGTACACATTGAATGTCATTGTAATACTGCTTTGCCTAAATGCTTTCAGTGTCTGATCATTATTTTTTCATGTCCCTTCTGGATTTAAGGGCTCAATGAAGGCTGTTTGGCAGAGAGAGATGCCTTGGAAGCAGCCCTGCGTCTGAAAGAGGAATCTGAACGCCGTCTTGTTGTAGAATTGGAGAGCATGAAAACACAGTTCCAAGATCTAACTGAAGAACATACAAGATGCATTGAGGAGCAGAAGTTAATAAGAAGTCAAAATAAAGCTTTGACTGCCAATTTAGGGGAGACAGAAATTGGTAAGAAATAGGGTGCTGTATTATGTGGTTTGTTCAACACTGAAACTTGATTGTTAAAAAGGCTTGAGAAGTAGACCAAAGGAAAAATATTTCCATTAGCATTTTAACTGTGTTGAGATTATTTCTTAAGGGAAAAGTATAGTCAGTACTAGGGATGGACATGAACTGGCTCATGAGCCAAAATTCAGCATGAACTTAGACGGGTTTGGAGGCCCCAAACCAATGTTCAGGGAAGGCACTTTCCTTGAACATTTACTGGACTTTTGTCCGGTTCGGTTCAGCTGTTCGGGGCCATTTAAACTTAACAGCTGAGTGGCGTAGGGTCAGCCCGTCAGCTGTTAGGTTTAAATGGCAGCCATTTCACTGGTCTGTTTCGCTAGCCCCTGCTTCAAAGCGGGGTGGGGGAGCGAAACTGACTGTTAAAATGCCTGCCAGCCATTTAAACCTACTGGGGTGGGTCCACCTGTCAGCTGTTAACTTTAAATGGTTGCGAGCCATTGCTCCCCCTCCCAGGAAGTGAAACGGACAGATTAAAAGGCTGCCAGCCATTTAACTTTCCAGGCTATCCCTCCCCCCCCCGACTGCGGCAAGCTGCGGCCAGGAGAAGAGGAGAACTGAACTTGCTGGTTTGGTTTTAGGGCCTTTGGCTCAGTCCCAGGGCCACCCCAAACTGGGTTTTTTAGGTTAGTGCCCATCCCTAGTCAATACTTTTGTGAAATAGAATGCAAGCATTCAAGCACTCAATATGGTACTTCAGAAATATAGAATTAAATTTCTTTAACAGGCATTTACATAGGGACAATCTCTGGGAATTCTCTAAAGGCCTCCTTCCAGTGATCTATACTACAAAAAGACTCTTCTTTGTTACACTGATGAAAAAAATGAGTATAGCAGTGTGACAACCCCTTTACTGGGGAGGTCTGGTTTCCCTTTAAAAGTGTACTTTATGTTTTTCTCTACTGGGTAATCCGGCTGCCACCAGGAAATTTAAGGCTTTCCAAACCTTTATAATATAATATTCATCACTGGGTAGGTATATCGAGGGTTTAAGCTTTCGAGGAACTATGTGGTCTGAGGAAGGATTCTTTCCAGAGCTGGTATACTTGAATGAAATAGGATTTATTTACAGAAAGCATAAATACGAGGGTAGAACCATGTAACTAGTAAAGTAGGTATAACACACAGTCTGCTCCCTACTAACAGGGATTTTTCCTTAGGTAACTTTGTAACACTTTTTCCTTTAGGCCATATATGGTTACTGTTTCTTTATACTTCAACTTTTCATAACACACAAGAAGGTCTCTCCTTCAGACCCCAGAACTAAACTCATCCCACACAGGGATGGGTCTCACTCCTCTCATACACAGAACTTCTGCTTCTCTCACAGAAATCAGAACTTCTGATCTTCATCAACTGTCATATCTAACTGTCCCCACTGTAACTGTCACTCTTGACAGACATAAATATCATCCTCACAGCATCACTTCCAAAACCCCTCCCCCTCTCTTTCACTCACCAATCACACCACTTGCTTGTTTCCACTACTCTAGACTATCATACAGCCATGCACCCAAACTTTTAAAGTCACACACACACACAGTTAAACATGAAATTGTTACAAGCAGTCTCCAGATTTTATTAATTTATTTAATTAATATGTTGATATGCTGCCTTTCTGCTACTGCAATTCTGAATTGTTGCTTATAATATGATATGCATGACATGGAAGAGAAAAGGGGACAGGAAGAAAAGAGAAAAACTAACTTTGGTACCAGATAATTTACACGATGGGTACATAGTGAATAGGTGAAATGGCCAGTGCAACTGGGAGGGAAGGAGCCAAACAGCAGTTGCTGTCAACCCACCCAACAGAAGGAGCTTCCCTGTGTTGCATCTTTCCCTTACGCTGCGATTGGCTGCTGTTGGAAGCATCTCTGAAAGAAGAAACACTTTGCCCCAGCTGAGCCCATGAAGAGGGCATCATGATCTCCCGTCTTGCTCTGGTGCTGGTTTTCGGTCTAGATTATTTTTAAAAACTACATTCTTATTCTGAAATAACCTCTTGCTTATATTTCTTCGTATTTCTTTAGATTTATTGAAGGAAGTTGAACGTCTCTCAAAAGCAAAGTTAGAACTGCAGTGTCAGGCAGAAAAGGACTGCTCCACCTTGAATGCTCAGTTGAAAATTTTGGAGATAGAGCTTGAAGAGCAGCTGAACAAAAATCAAAAGATGGCCACGATGTCGTTAGAAGTTGTTGATTTAAAACAGCAGATACAAGCCCTTGAAAGACAGCTGAAGAGTCAACGGGATTTCATGGATGTAAGAATTAATTGCTTTGTTTGTGGTCGTAGGGACAAAGTCTTGGTTTTTCTTAATTGTCAACTAGGCCGTAACCTTAAAATAGTGCTTTTGTTATTTCTCCTTTTGTTCCTTTAATTATACAAATGCAAAGATTTTTTTTTAAAGTGGTGCTAATTTATTTGACAGAAACAAGCAGTTGAACGAGAGCATGAACGTGATGAATTCCAGGAGGAAATTCAGAAGCTAGAAATGCAGTTAAAACAAACAGAAAAAAACCAGGCTTCTGGGCAGTCCAGAGTATTGGTAAGTAAAACGCCATGAGCTGGATTCACCCAGCTTCTCCTGTTAGGAAGTGGAGCGGAGGGATGCTTTTTGATAACCAACTTTTTATTTTCTTCATCATCGTATCTGTAAGTGAGGAAAGCCCCCTGAGCCTGTGAGAGGCCTTATCCTTACATAAATCAAAAATGAACAAAGGAAAACATCTAGAAACCATTGAGGACAGAGTTCCATCATAAGAAGATCCCACTGGATCAGACCAGTGGGGTGGGTGGGCATATGTGTGTGTATGCGTGGCAAAGGCAGAGGATACTGTATGTTTTATATCTCAACAGAACATGCAGGTTTTAATTATACAGATGGGCTTTGGAGCAAATTAAAATGTTATACATCTGTTGTCTGTTAAATTAACTTTCCATTTCTCAAAGAGCATGTAACATGTTGTTTGTCCATGCTTACAGGTAGAGTCCCTCTATGAGGAAATCAAAGAAAGAACAGATGATTACAATAACATTTGCTTGGAAAGAGAGGAAATGCAGAAAGAACTCACCGTTCGAAATGAAGAAATAGAAAAGCTGGCAGCAAGGGTCAGAGAACTGGAGTGCTTGAAGATGGAGGAGGCAAAGCATGTCAGTCAGCTGACGCAAGAAGTACAGAAAATGAAAAAATTGGAAGCTGAATGGAAACAAGTAACTTCATCTTAAGTTATTTTTATATTATTTTAAATGGATGGAAGAATCCATTTAAAATAATATAAACTTTGTTATCTCAGAAGCAGTAGATATCAGTTTGTATTATATCTATTTTTCCTCTCATAGCTCATTGAGATTTTTAGGGACATAAAACAGGGAACTTATCTTAGAGTTCTAATTAAAGCCAGACGTCCTTGTGTTATAGTTTAAGCCATTGGGAAGTCATTTTTCCATCATCTAAAACAGAATCCTATTTTAACTGTTCTCTCAAGAACAGTTCTCTCAGAGCTCTCTCAGCCCCACCTACCTCACAGGGTGTCTGTTGTGGGGAGAGGAAGGGAGGGAGACTTCGAGTGAAGGGCGGGGTATAAACCCAATCTCCTCTTCTCTTTTATAATTGCCTCTGAGAGACTTTTCATGAATGACACAAGAATTTCCTACGTTTGATATTCAGATGAAAGTGCCAGATAGCTTAGAATGCATATGCAATTTAAAAATGGCTGTCTTGTGTACTGACTTTCAGAAGTTGCATTCTGGGAACTAACCATTCTTAACAAAGTTTGAGTCCAGTGGCACCTTGAGATACAGTGTCAGTGTATCTGAGGAAGAGTGCTTGCACACAAAAGCTTATACCTTGAATAAAATGTTGTTGGCCTTAAAGTTGCCACTGGACTCAAACTTTGTTCTGCTGCTTCAGACCAATATGGCTACCCACCTGAATCCAGCCATCCTTAAGTGATACTCATAGGCGTAGAGTTCAGGGGGGCGCAGGGGCGGGGGCTACCTCCGAAATTTTCCGGGGGAGTCTCAGCCTCCCCCGGGGCTTGTGATGCTTGCAAAAACAAAACCCATCCCTCTTCCCGGTTTGAAAGCGGAAGTTTTTTTAAAAAACTTTTTTAAAAAACTTTTTTTTTTGCCAGTTTGGGGGCGGTTGCCCTGGCTGTGCTCGTCCAGCCAGCTCAGCACCTCCTCCTCCTCCTGGTCCCCTCTGTCGGCGGGGGGAGGGAGGGAGGGAGAGCGCCAGGGGGCTGCTGCCGCAGAGGATGCCGGACCTTGGAATCCCCGCGCTTTGCTGGGGGCGGGGACTGAGCAGCCTGCCGGGAGAGTTTGGCCCCGGTTCCCACGTGCAGCAGCCGGGTGTGCCTGGCGAGGAGAGGGCGGGCTCCGCAAGCCCGGGAGGGGGAGGAGGAGGAGGAGGTACTCCCCCAAGCTGCGGGTCAGGCAGGCTCGGCAGAAGCTGTGGCCGCACTCGGCGAGGGTCACCGGGTCCAGGCAGATGGAGCAAGAGGCTGCTTCCTCGCAGAGATCTTTGA